GAGAGAGAGAGAGAGAGAGAGAGAGAGAGAGCAAGAAAGATAGAGCAAATAGAACGAGAATAAAAAAGAGGGATAAGGAAGAAAAATACTCAGACTGACACAAAAAAAACCCCACAAACCAAACCAAACCACAACACAAAAAACAGCAACAGAAGAGGGGAGAAAATCACGCAGTGCAAGTATGGATGTGTCGTGCACACCAACAGCTGACAGGACAAATGTGGGTATTGATTAGGGAAAAGGTTAACAACACAACACGCGTTTACCAAAGACACAGGACAAGGGAGTATTGATTAAGGAAAAGGTTAACAACACGCGTTTACTAAAGACACAGGACAGGTGTGTATTGATTAGGGAAAAGTTTAACAACACGGGCTTTACCAAAGACACAGCCATTGACTGAGAGGGAAGACCGGGCCTGCGAAAGGACCATCGCCCTACAAAGCAACACAGCCAAACTTGCTCTAACGGCCACCTGTATAAAACAATCACCTGTACCAACGGCCACTTGTATAAAACAATCATTTGTACTAACGGCCACCTGTATAAAACAATCACCTGTACCAACGGCCACTTCCTGCTTGCGATTTTTTGAATAATATTCTTATCTTTATAATGACATTATGTTAGACGTGAACTTGTCTAAGAAGACAAAGTTCTTTTCTCCTCGACAATGGGTGGCCGTGTTAGGCACGTTCCTCCGTATTTGTTATCACAATCATCGGAAAATATCAGATCTGAAAAACGCTACCTAAGAATTACAAAGTTCTATCTGATCAGTACCTGATGTAACAAATTTTTAGTTTCACAACATGTAAAGCTTTTTCGAATGCAGTTCTTTGAATATCTTGATAATGACTTCAAATAATCTTACGATTTGGAAAGAAAAAATATGATATTTGGTTTCACACCGCATGGTATTAGCAACTAAAAAGGAGCCAAAACTGTTAGATAGAGCTTTGTGATTCTGAGGTAGTAAATAGCCATCGATTGTGTCGGTGTTCATGGTTCGGTATATTATGTTTTAGCCTTAAGGCATATGGAGAACATTGCTGTCAGCTGAAAATTTCCAAGTCATGCTGACTTTTCATTTTGAAGGTCTCACGTACTTTGAGATAAATCTACCGACGTTTGTGGTGTACAGGTAATTAATTTAAGTTATTCGCCGCCGTACACTGAAGACATCAGTTCAATAATCGCGTAGGAAGAATATCCTTAGAGTTTTTCGGATTTCTGCTGGGCTGTTGTATCCCTATCGCGACCTCATAATTACAAAGCTGTTTCTGACATTTTAGACCGTTTTGAGTTACTAAGACCATAAGGTCGGAAAGCGAATGCTTTATCTGCTCTATCAAAATTATAGGAAAATCCAGAGTCGTTATCAAGATATTTAAAGAATTGCATTCGAAACAAGCTTGACATATTGAGAAATTCAACACTCTTGAAGTCAAATTTCTCAACACTAGGTATTGAGCAGATGGAAATTCTGAGGTAGCGTTATGCTCTCCGCGAGGGTTGGCCCCTGGTAGGTAGAGTAGAAAACCGCCTCCTGAATGATCTGAACTGTGTTGGTGGGAGGTGTGCAACATCTGCATTTAAAAAGAAGTGTAATATTTATACATAGGAATATGCACACATAGTATGTACACACACACACACACACACACACACACACACACACACACACACACACACACACACACACACACACACACACACACACCCATACAAACGGATACAGAAATACAGATCCATGCTCACAGTCACATATAAACACACCCCCAAAAGTTAATACAGTCATACATACAGCAATCACACACAAAGGCACCAACCCCAGTGTGCAACCCCTCTGAAATCGAACACAAGATCACCATGCAGTGAGGCAAAAACCTTGCAGTCTTCACTAAGTGTACTCCTGTCTCAGAGGCAGTGGTAGTCACAAATTTGATTGACATTTGACGTGCGAAATGTTGACCCCCACAACAGGATGAGGTAAGCACTTTTCCTCTACTTTCCATGCAATCTCCCTACTCTGTCCTTACGCCCTTACTTCATGGAGGGAAATGAAACATGTCGTGGGCGAGGAGAGTGGGGGGGGGGGGGAGAAGGGACGCAAGCGTTCTGAAATCAAAATAACCATACTGTTTCTGACAGGGATGCGACAATGTTGGGCAAAAGTAAATTTTAGCCCTCCATTCTAAACTTACTTGACCTAGCTATCGTATATCCGGGGTCTTCACTTTCCGTGGGGGCCACACGTCACACTTGAGTCGCCGTGACGTCATGCGGGAAAGATATCTTTTCGAAATTTACTTTTAGCGCAGGCTGTTGTCTCTTATTAAGTTATGTGTTTGTTTGAGCAAATAGAAGCACATCGACACAATTATGTTCATTTAATGCTGAGAAAAAGTAAGACAGACAAGCAGAAACAACAGATGGGAATTAAAGAAGAAGGGCCTACCAGTGGCGGCCTCCAACCTTCCGCGCTGTTGTCTTTTAAGATCTTAAAATATCTGGTTTAAAGCCACAAGTACGTCCTTTCCCAGAATGCGACCGGCGTCTGAGGTGTAATGTTATAAGGCACTTCGCTGTCTGCACACAAATGAAAGCACTTAGATCGATTCTCGTGCGGCGTTCTGCTGAGATGTTGTATTCCATTCAGCCCAGTTTGGCGTAACACGAACGGGAAAAGCAGCCCTACTCATTTTTTTTTATCCCGTGCCCATTTATATGAGATTAACGCCTTCTGTTTAGTAGAAAAAAGTGCGTATGATAGTGTCCAATATTGTATTACGAGCATACTTAGTATAACAAGTAACTGTAATAGCAGATAGAGATTCCAGGATTATGGATGTAAGTCATTGATCTGAGAGCGGTGATGATTTTAGCTATATAATGGTGGTGATGAGTGATGATGTGGGATTGCGTTTAAGTAATGTTAGCGTTAGTCCTATCTTCCTCTGCTCCGATGAGTCACGAAGGACGTGGGCACCCTCTATACCGTTCCCTACTAGAACCATCTTTTCGGCCACCGTGAAGTTCCGAAATGGTGGGCACAGTCTCTGATAAGGTGACATTGTTAGTGTTAGCCTATTCTTTCGGGTCAAGACAAGTGTCGAGAGGAGCTAAATGGGAAGACAATATAGTGGCAGGTATGCTGTACATCCAAACTCCTAAAATATCTCAACTGAGTGTGTCCAACATCAGCTCGCGACAGTGAAGGATAGAGGGTCAATACACGTCGACCTCAAAGTAAGAGATGACACCTCCATGTTCCATTTTTCATGTGTTTATTTGGATGGTACAATCATTTGATTTGCAGTCAGTTGAATGTTTTTATGATTTTTGTGAGGGAGATTTGGTGCATGCTTGCATGATACAAGCAACGTTTTTTATATGCCATGTGTTGAAGTAAACTTGGGCTGTTCCATCTTTCAACAGAGAAAAGAGTCAGGAAACTACATCAAGAATGCTCGTATGACCGTTTCATTACACAACACAACTTTAGGTGAATTAGATGACGACAAAAACGTTGGTACCCCCAGCATCCAATCTCTCTTTTCTATGGTCTAACTATACTTTATTACCGACATTAAAAATTCATCAAGCGTTGACTGGGACTCGTGATTTCCAGAGTCGAGAGCAATAAATAATACATGTATTATAAGCCTAATACGTTTTAAATGAAAGGAAAAAAAGGTGTCAGTATCCATCCCGCAAAAGAACCAATTATGTGATATTACGATAATTTTATGTGAAAGTGGTCTCTGGGTTCTGACTTTGTTTTGTTTTGTGTCCGTAAATTATACGGATGTCTGTCTGTCTGTCTGTCTGTCTATCTGTCTTTCTGTCTGTCTGTCTGTCTGTCTGTCTGTCTCTCTCTTTCTTTCTTTC